GGTCCCCAGTGCACTGCTATGGGCAGTCCTGCAGGGCCGGAGGCGGTGACAAAGGAAGGGACAGTCCCTGCCTCCACCTCAGGTTCTCCTCAGTCCTGTGTTCCCTCAGGAGCTGCTTTTCTTTGCAGACAGGAAAACATAACTCAAGACCCATGTTCCCAGCCAGCCGACCTTGCGGGGGCATTTCCACATCTATAAAATAGGAAAACTATTATCTCCTGCTTAAGACATTTGGTGCACATTAACATTGCCAAAGCTCTCGGTGCAGGGTCTAACATATCCCAGCCCTCACCCTTCTCACTTTTTTTTAAAATTTTTTTTTTTTTTTGACAGGCAGAGTGGACAGTGAGAGAGAGAGACAGAGAGAAAGGTCTTCCTTTGCCGTTGGTTCACCCTCCAATGGTCGCCGCGGCCAGAGCACCGCGCTGATCCGAAGCCAGGAGCCAGGTACTTCTCCTGGTCTCCCATGGGGTGCAGGGCCCAAGCACCTGGGCCATCCTCCACTGCACTCCCGGGCCACAGCAGAGAGCTGGCCTGGAAGAGGGGCAACCGGGACAGAATCCGGCGCCCCAACCGGGACTAGAACCCGGTGTGCCGGCGCCGCAAGGTGGAGGATTTGCCTAGTGAGCCGTGGTGCCAGCCCCTTCTCACTTTTGACAGCCACTGCTTACTCACCGGCACCTGAGGACATCAACATTGACAAGGACGAATTCCCTAACAGAAGCGGACTACGCCTTGAGTGGGTGCCTGGAGGAACCTCCCTGCCCAGGAAGCAAGATTCTGCAGAAGGCACCCACACCCTCCCAACTGGCCTCTCCCCCTGCTGCCTACTCCTTGACCAGGTAGAAGCTCCCCCATCTGAGCTGCTGCTTGGGATGGGCGTCCATGCTGTACCCAGGCAGCCCCTCCAAGAGGCGCGCAGCCTGCAACAAACACACCCTTCTACTCCGTCACCGTGGAAGACGACATAATCAAAGCCAAGTCTCTCTGCCGCCGTGATCCCGGAAAAGACGCCATGTCTCCTATCATTCAGACTAAAGGGAAGAGTCAGGCCAGTGCGAGGGACGGCACAGTGCAGTCTGGCCTCAGGCAGGTGCAGAACTCCAGGGAGGACGCTTGACCAGACGAAGTCCTCGGGACAGCCCACTGCCCTTAGTGTCTTCTCTGGGCCTTCTAGAATGGCCCTGCACAACTGACTGGAGGCCGGGAGAGCAGCTTCCGGGGAGGGAGAGAGATTTTCAGTGTGAGGGCCTGGAAGGAGAATGCATCACTGGGAAATTGGGATACAGCTCTTTCAATGAACTGACTGAAGAACTCTCAAACTAACCCGAAATGCACTAACTTGGGCGGCTCTAGGAACAAGCAGGAGAGAAAACTCTTTTCCGTAAAAGGAACAATTGCACCCCTTCCGCTAACCTCCACAGGTCTGGGATTTGCTTAAAGGAACTTTGTTTATACAGTATGACCTCCAAGAGAAATGGGAGGGTATCGGGGTCTTAATCAGCGGTCCAGAGTGAAGACGCCAATCTATAAAACCCAAATACTTACAAAACACCACAAAACACCTGCAATGTTTGCCAGAATCACAAAGCAGAATTCCCCGCGGCTGATGAGGTTTGTAAAGCGGGGAGGTTTGCACTGGTCCCTCTTGTTTCTTACGGACTGTGTTCCAGTGTCTTCTGTTCTTTGCCATCCTTTCCCTTTCACCTGCTCAGAAGATCTGCTCAAATTGACCACGAGAGGGAGCACGCACCCTGCCCCAAAAGGTCCTGGCGCCTGGCCTCAAATGTCAGTGGGATACCTGATGATACTCCACCCCCCCACCCCACCCCCCACTCCCTGCAGTGAGGGAGGACACTGGGGTGAAGTCCTGCCCCTTCTCAACTCACACATTCAGTCTACGAAGACCGGGTGGGGCGAGCAGGTGCTAAGAGAAGCCAGGAGTGACTGCAGACAGGAGCAAGAGAGCCATGGACCAAGAATCAGGAGTTACCGAGGCTCACCCAGCCTGCCAGAAGCTCGCTGTGTCACCCCTCTAGCCTCTGTTTCTTCACTGGTAGCCTTCGGGGACTGAACCAAGTGGGCCCCAGGTTCTTCTCTGGCTGAACATTTTATTAGTCCATCATTAGCCTGTCCAGAGCCTGTGTCTCGACTCTCAGCGTAATGTAGGCCACACAGGAGACAGAGCCGACGGCCTGGCGGACAAGGCACACGGAGTTTTGCAGATGCGTGCTGTACTATTTAGAGGCCCCCTCAGGTTGCGCACTCCTGGTGCAGGGGTTTGAACATACCAGGAACAGCTGTAGCAATCCTAGCAAGAACTGCTTCTTTAAGGAGCTGCACAAAGCACCAGTGACCAGAAGTCTTATCCGTGACCCACCCACACTCTCCTCCATGACCCAGCTCCAGCCAGCACTGGGGAGGGGACAGTCCTTCATATCTGACTAGAGAAGACTCCTGCTTAAGACCTGAAAGTCCAAAAAGGCTGTGGACTCTGCCTACCACAACCCCATTAGGACTCATTCATTCGAGAATTTATTGACTAGAAGGGCCTGTGGTCATCGGGCAGATTCTAGTCTTATGTTTCCATGTCTCTTCATGTGCCCGTGTGCCACACACAGTATACATTTTCAAAACTATTTGGAAAACTGTAGAAATGATCCAAGTGTAGAATACTAGATTTTTCCAAAGGGGGTTAATGTTTGATTCTGTCTGGTTCCTATGAGATTCTCTCCAATCAATTCCTCGGAATTGAGATAACTGGGAGTAAGTTTCTCCAAGGGTCACTGTCTTTCTGGTTTGTCCTAACCCTGAGAAATCGCCTAACCAAACCCAACCTAAAAGAGGACTTAACAGCATCTGTCTTTGGAAGGTCCTGGGGTCCAACTTTAATTTGTTTCTCCCGTGAGCCAATTAAAAATCTAACTCCTGTTCTCAGATGTAGCCAAATATCTCCAGGAGAAAAAATAGACCCAAATGCTGAGCTTACCTCTTTGGAATTACGTCTTTTCCAAAATCTTATAATTATGCATTAGCTTTCAAGCAACTATAGACAAGCACGTTTCAGTTTTCCTCCAGTTTTTCCCTTTTCTTCAATGGCAGGCTCGGTCTGACAGACCTAGGCAGACACTACCAAGGGTAGAAATGAGCGCTCATTTTTCTCACATATGAAGGAGTCTAGACTTGAAAATATCTTTCTAAATGAAAGGAGCCAGACACAAGGCCACATATGGTAGGCTTCTGCTAATATGAAATCCAGAGACAGAAAGCAGTGTAGAGCTGACAGGGTATAGGGGAAAAGGAACAGGGAGTGGTCGCTTAATGATCTGCGCTTCCACTCGGGATGATGAAAGTTCTGGAACTCGACAGTGGTGAACCCACTAAACATCGTGAGTGCACTAAATGCTGCTGAAATGTCCACTTCAGAAGGGTACGTGCGTTTTACCGCAATTTTTTAAAAAGGAGTGTTAGCAGCAGGAGCTTTCCAGGTTGGTCAAACAACTCAATGAGAGCCTTGGATTGATATCTGTTATTGATAGGGTTGGATTTAATTCTACTGTATTGCTATTTGTTTTCTGTTGGTTATACCTGCTTCTGGTTATTTTCCTGGCTTCTTTTGAATTAACCAAGTATTGTCCTAATTCTGTTTCCCTTTATTAGACTTTTAGTTATATGCTCTTATACTTTTTTTCACCAGTTACTCTGGAAATGACAATATTTATAGAGACAAGTTACTTATTGCAGTTATCCTTAACGTAGGATTTCGAAGCTCCTGGAGGAATGAAAAACAACATAAATGTTTTATTCTATTTATTCCTCCACCGAACCTCTACTGCCTCTTGTGCTGTTGCTTCGTGTGTTTCCAACAAACGTGAATGGACCACACGTGCCGATTAGAAGAGGAAGATCACGAACTGGATATTAGAAATTCAGGCAGCAGCCCTCTTCGCTCTGGGTTCGAATGAACCGACTCTCCCCGCGCTTAGGGACTTCTCATAGACAACTGTGGCGACACACACAGGGACATAAATGACCCTGCAATACTCTGTAACGGTGGAGTCCCAAGTACGGGGTCATGGACACCCGTGTCCTTACTGCAGCTCTCCCGCAAGTCCAGGAGATGCCCAGAGCTCAGAGCATGGTCTGGTTGAGAGTGCCACCGGAGGAGCAGGAAGCACCAGGGGAGTTACTAGGGAGGCTACACAGCCAGTAGCGGTCAGCACTCCTGCTGGGAACCCTAGTGGACCAAAACCTTTGGCTTGGACACAGACATCTCAATCCTCAGACCAGTACGTGCGAGAGCTCTCCAGAGCCCCAAATCATCTATTCTGAATGATAAGAGTCTGCCAAAGACCTAAGAAACACTTTGGGCATTTACAATCAGAACTTTCCATGTCTCGACACGCTCAGTGCCGTCAGTAGAAGAGATCACACCCAGAGAACAGAGGCCTTCAGCCCAGAGATGACAGCGAAGAGTTCAGTGACAGCTCCAGAGAGGCAGAGTATAAGGACATTGCTACATGGATTTCAGACTCTGGAAATTCCGAGTGAAGAGAGTTCCTCTTCTGGTATGACTGATCACAAAGCAGGACCGAAAAAGGGAGACGAACTCACATCTTTTTGCATTAAAAAGACTACGGGGTACAGGCATTTGACACAGCAGTTAAAACACCACTTGGGATGCCCACATCCCATAGCAAAGGGCCTGGATTTGAGCTCCAGTAACATTCCTGACACCAGCTTCCTGCTGATGTGCACCGTAGAAGACAGCGGGTGACGGCTCAAGCAGGGGGGTCCCTGCTACCTACCCACACGGGAGACCTGAATTGAGTTCCTGGCTTCCGGCTTCAACCTGGCCAAGCCTTGGCTGTTGCAGACATTTGGGGAGTGAACCAGCAAGTAGGATATCATAGAAAAGACAAATTACAGGGCAGTATCTCTCATGAACACAGATGCAAAACTCCTCAGAGAATAAAATTCTTTATTAAAATGACCATGACCCAAAGATAGAATAACTGTCTGAGGGGGTGAATACGCCAGTCAGCATGATTTAATCATTACCCATTGCACACAGGCGTGGCCATACACTGAACACCAGAAATAAATGTACAGGTTCTATGAGTCAATTAAAAAGAAAATTTTGTTGGCCGGCGCCGCGGCTCACTAGGCTAATCTTCCGCCTGCGGCGCTGGCACACCAGGTTCTAGTACCGGTCGGGGTGCCAGATTCTGTTCCAGTTGCTCCTCTTCCAGGCCAGCTCTCTGCTGTGGCCCGGGAAGGCAGTGGAGGATGGTCCAAGTGCTTGGACCCTGCACCCCATGGGAGACCAGGAGAAGCACCTGGCTCCTGCCATCGGATCAGCGCGGTGCGCCGGCCACAGCACACTGGCTACGGCGGCCATCAGAGGGTGAACCAATGGCAAAGGAAGACCTTTCTCTCTCTCTCTCACTGTCCACTCTGCCTGTCAAAAAAGAAAGAAAGAAAGAAAGAAAGAAAGAAAGAAAGAAAGAAAGAAAGAAAGAAAGAAAGAAAGAAAGAAAGAAAGAAAGAAAAGAAAAATATGTTTAAAAATTACTATGACCAAGAGGTCTTTTTATTTTTTTTTCAGGGAAAATATAGGTTGATTTAGGGTAGGAAATTAGTGTAGTATACCAAATTAGTAGAATAACGGGGGGAAACTCTAGGACAATCCCAATATAAGGAAAAGGTATTTGATAAAATTTAAATTCATGTATGATACAGACATTCAGAAAGTTAAGAACAGAAGGTAACTTCTTTAAGATTATGATTTTAAAAATACCCTACCACTAACATCTTACTTAACAGCAGACTACTGAAAAGAGTGACACAGTTTTTGAAAGTTGAGATTGACCTGCAATAATAGGAATTCATTGAATATCATATGATATGTTTCAGATCCATAACCAAAGTTCTGAGAGTTTTTCTTCGTGTGACCTTCGATTCCTATATAAGTCACTGTTGCCTCTTTAGAGAAGAGTGGTGACGAAAGCAGACACCTGCTTTGAGGGCCCCTCCTCACAAGATGTGGTCCATGGTGGAGGAACGCGAGGAAGACGGGGGGAAGGAAGATGACCTCTCGTAGCCCTGCCGGGACACGTTCCTGCCTATGTAGAAGACAACGTGGCTGCAGCTCTTCTGAAATATGTCGGAGAGGTATTTCTTGAACTTCTCTCCCATGAAGGCATAGATGACAGGGTTCACACAGCAGTGCGTGAAGGAAATGGCCTCCGTGACGTGGGTGGCGTAAATCAGCCGCTGGTTTATGACACAGCCGTCCAAGACGTGCATGTTGTGCAGGGAGGTGAGGAAGAGGACCACGTTGAAGGGGACCCAGAAGAGCAAGGACGCAAGGACCACAATGAGCACCAGCTTGATGGCCTTGGTCTTGTTGTGGTTTTGGCAATGTCTCAGCTGCTGCAGGATGCGGACGTAGCAGAACATGAGGACGGCGAAGGGGATCAACAGGCCCAAGACGTTCATTTCCAAGTGGGTGAAGATCTTCCACCTCAGAGTCTGCTGGTTGTAGGACAAGTAACACTGCAGAACGCCGTCTTCAGGGACCACCTGATAAAACACCAGCAACGGGCTGGTGGCCATGATGGCGGTCAGCCACACGGCCAGGCTCAGAGCCACGCCCGTCCTGGCCGTCCTCACTCTGAGGGCACACACAGCATGGACGACAGCCAGGTACCTGTCCACGCTCATGAGGGTGATGAAGAACATGTTGCTGAAGAAGCCGACGTAATAGAGGCCAGACACCAGCTTGCACATCGGAGTCCCAAACACCCACTGGTCCAGCTGATAGTGGGTCAGAAAGGGGAAGGAGAAGACGAAGAGCAGGTCCGACAGGGCCAAGTTCAAGAGGTAGATGTCCGTGATGCTCTGCAGCTTCTTGTAGGCCACAAGCACCAGGATGACCAGACCGTTTCCCAGCAGGCCTGACACGAACAGGAGGCAGTAGAAGATGGCAAGCGGCAACTTGCTGCGTCTCTGGGTAAGTTCTCCATCACAGGGGCTCGAGAAGATATCAGGGTAATAGTAGTCAGTCACTGCTGTCACGTTGGGCTCGAGGGTGTAATCCATCAAGGCGAGGGGACCTGCTTATAGAAACCCAGGAGAGAGGGTCATTCCCCACACCGGACATTTGGCCTGGCAGTTAAGGCGCTGCGTAGGACGCCTGCATTCCACATCAGAGCACCTGAGCCGGACTGCCAGCCCCAGCGCCTGGCTCCAGCTTCTTGCTCATGCAGACCCTGGGAGGCAGCAGGGATGGCTCAGGTCACTCGCTCCTTGCCACCCATGTTGAGGACCTTGACTGAGTTCTCAGCTCCTGGCTTCTACTGGACTGGGCATTGTGTGTGTGTGTGTGTGTGTGTGTATCAGTGGGTGAGAGGTATGTCTCTCAGATAAATAAGTAAAATATTTTTTAAAAATTTGAAACAATGGGGGCTGGTACTGTGGTGTAGCAGTTAAAGCCGCTGCCTGCAGTGCCAGTATCCCATGTGGGCGCCTGTTTGAGTCCCAGCTGCTCCAATTCCGATCCAGCTCTCTGCTATGGCCTGGGAAAGCAGTAAAGATGGCCCAGGCCCTTGGGCCCCTGCACCTGTGTGGGAGACCCAGAAGAAGCTCCTGGCTCCTCGCTTCAGATCAGTGCAGCTCCGGCTGTTGCGGCCTTTTGAGGAGTGAACCAGCAGATGGAAGACCTCTCTGTCACTCGCTCGCTCGCTCGCTCGCTCTCTCTCTCTTTCTGCCTCTCTGTAACTCTGCCTTTCAAATAAATAAATAAAATCTGCAGGCACCGTGGCTCACTAGGTTAATCCTCCGCCTGTGGCACCAGCACTCCGGGTTCTAGTCCCGGATGGGGCGTCGGATTCTGTCCCGGTTGCTCCTCTTCCAGTCCAGCTCTCTGCTGTGGCCCAGGAGTGCAGTGGAGGATGGCCCAAGTGCACCCCATGGGAGACCAGGATAAGACCTGGCTCTTGCCTTCGGATCAGTGCGGTGCACAAGCCATAGTGGCCATTTCGGGGGTGAACCAACGGAAGGAAGACCTTTCTCTCTCTCTCTCTCTCTCTCTCTCTCTCTCTCTCTCTCACTGTCTAACTCTGCCTGTCAATAAACAAATAAATAAATAAAATCTTTTTAAAAATCTAAGACACTGGGAAATGCTGTGGAATACACTGTGAATCCCTCACATGCAGACGCGGAAGCTGTCACTTGCGGTGTGAGTCAGTTTGGACCCTGAGCCTTGGAGAGGTAACTAAAGTAAACTGAGTCATGAACATGGGTCCCCGATCCCTCCCCTTCTCTTCCTTTCCTTTCCATACGTATCCATAAAACTATGGACTACTGTTTTGTGTTCAGTTTTAACTTTTTTTTTTTTTTTTTTTTGACAGGCAGAGTGGACAGTGAGAGAGAGAGACAGAGAGAAAGGTCTTCCTTTGCCGTTGGTTCACCCTCCAATGGCCGCCGCGGCCGGCGCGCTGCGACTGGCGCACCGCACTGATCCGAAGGCAGGAGCCAGGAGCCAGGTGCTTTTGGTCTCCCATGGGGTGCAGGGCCCAAGCACTTGGGCCATCCTTCACTGCACTCCCGGGCCACAGCAGAGAGCTGGCCTGGAAGAGGGGCAACCGGGACAGAATCTGGTGCCCCGACCAGGACTAGAACCCGGTGTGCCGGCGCCGCAAGGCAGAGGATTAGCCTGTTGAGCCGCGGCGCCGGCCATTCAGTTTTAACTTACATAAACGATACAATATCCTGTTTCTCATTTTATGCTCTGCTTGTTATTTTGTATGTGCACTTGAATGACTCTTTAGTTTATCCTTTAATTGCTCTTCTAAGCACCAGAAACCAGCTAATTTTAAAATATGAAATACATTATTCTAATTATACGAAAAATGAAAAGTACTGCAATCACTAGGGACATTCCTAAGCCTAATAAAGGTGAAATTCAATTATGTAAACAATTAAATACTCTTCTGAGGGACATAAAAGGAGACACGGTTGGAAGTAGAGTGAGATGGCGGCTGAGTAAGATGCTCTGGCGTGCCTCTCTCTGTAGAGCCACCTATTGGATCACACATCAAGCCACCTTCCCAGGAGCTAAGGAAGCCAACTGGGAAACGACAGTGTCTGGTTTTAGTATAATAGTGACGAGACACACCTCTGTGAAGGCAGGAAGGAGGAAGTGGCCCACATCACCCCTCCCTTAGCTCCAAGCAGCACTGCCTGGAGATAGACACCTCCCACCTGGAGGAGGGAGAGGGAATGAAGTCCAGCTCTCGGGGCTGGCACTGTGGCATCCCATATGGGCACCAGTTCTAGTCTCGGCTGCTCCACTTCCAGTCCAGCTCTCTGCTGTGGCCTGGGAAAGCAGTGGAGGATGGCCCAAGTCCTTGGGCCCCTGCACCCACATGGGAGACCCGGAAGAAGCTCCTGGCTCCTGGCTTCAGATCAGCTCAGCCCTGGCAGTTGTGGCCATTTGGGGAGTGAACCAGCAAATGGAAAACCTTTCTCTCTGTCTCTCCCTCTCACTGTTGTAACTCTACCTCTCAAATAAATAAATAAATCTTAAAAAAAAAAAAAAAAAAGTCCAGCTCTTAGACCTGAAATCCAGTACCAGGCTCTCCATTGCAAAAACCCACTGCTAGACAGGGTCCCACAACCCATGCCTCTGGCCAGTGCCTGCGGACTGAGCCTGTGGACCCTCATTGGCCAAGCAGCCCAAGGACAGATTCCACCACCCCTTCCATAACCGCCAGCAAACAGCACAGCCAGACTTCAGATGTCTGGCTGTAGAATGAGAAAGCAAGTACAGGATTTTTCCTTACAGCTCAGGGCCGAGCCTGCTGCATTAAGACCCAGCACCAGAAAAGATTCAAAGATCTCAACTGCTAAGCCCATAACTCAATGAAGACTCAGACCCTCAGCATCAGGTGAAGTGGACCCTGCTAAGAAAGACTCCTTTGGGCTTGTGTTACCACCGCCTTCAAAGGCCTGGTGCATTCCTGGGGGACCGTTCAGGGCGCTGCAGCTGCGAGACTCGGGCACATCCTAGCTTAATGTCAGCCTCTGTGGCCAAGGGACTGCCGTCACCACCCCTTGAGTAGACACCAGGAGGCAAGACCCCAGCCACCGAGGAGCAGGTCCCGAAACTCAGCACAGGGTTTGGTTTTGGGACTCAGTGCCAGAATGGTAAACCCCGAGACAGGGCAGACGCTAATGGTCCCTATCCCCAGTCCAGTGCCTACAGGGGGAGCCTCTGCATCACCCCTAGTGCCAAGTGGAGACCCATGGCCCAGTCAGCGCACTGCATCCTGGCCAGCATCACCTATGGCAGATGGATAGGCCTTGGATGTGAATACAACTCAGCACCAGGAAGCTGGCAGCAGTGTGGGCCTTGATCCCACTCCCATGCTCCGACTGAATTTGGTGGACCGTGGGATCCAGGTGTGAGAAACACTGGTGGCCACATGCAGACCCACCCCATTTTCCCCTACAACCCTAGGCAGCAGAACACAGACAGACAGTGATTTTCCCCTTGGGGGAGGAAAAGGAAGGACACTGCATAGGGACCTATGGCTTTGTTCTTTCACAGTCAGGCTCAGGACCAGGCGGGATCCTGCGGTGCATGACCAGAGGCAATGACTGTGGACAGGATCTCCAGCCCGTGTGATCGCAGGAAGAGGCGGGAGGAACTCTGCCAGACACTTTGAGACACTCTGCATTTTATTTTGTACAACCTATCAACAGCAGAGTTGGACAAATGTGGGTGGCAGTACATCCACAATAGGTTTGTGGTAAGCGGGAACACACGGTGCTATGTAACGCTGAAATACAAGTGTCTGTGGGTTCAGAGAAAGCAAGCAGACTGCTTAGAATTTCTGGAAGGCAGGCAGAAGCAAAGCCACTTTGTTAAGACTGGAAAAAGCAGGAAGTTAAGACTGATCCTTCAAAGTGCAGATGAAGTCATACACCAACAAGCATCAAGAATTTTCAGGGCTCAGTGCTGTGGCGTAGCAGGTAAAGCTGCCGATGCAGTGCTGGCATCCCATATGGGCGCTGGTTCGAGTCCCGGATACTCCACTTCCGATCCAGCTCTCTGCTGTGGCCTAGGAAAGCAGTGGAAGATGGCCCAAGTCCTTGGGCCCCTGCACCTGGATGGGAGACCTGGAAGAAGCTCCTGGCTCCTGGCTTTGGATTGGCCCAGCTCCAGTCATTGCAGCCATTCGGGCAGTGAACCAGCAGATGGAAGACACCCTCCCCTTTCTCTCTCTCTGCCTCTCTGTGACTCTGCATTTCAAATAAATTAACTGATTTAAAAAAAAAAAAAAAAGAATTTTTAGGGAACCATGACCTCATCTAACAAGCAAAATAAGGTATCAGAACTGACCAGATAGCAATAACTTTATGAAAGTTATCTGCTGAAGAATTAAAAATAGCTGTTTTGTGGTCAGCATTGTGGCATAGTAGGTAAAGCCGCCGTCTGCAGTGCCGGCATTCCATATGTGTGCTGGCTTTAATCTTGGCTGCTCCACTTCTGATACAACTCTCTGCTATGGCCTGGGAAAGCAGTGGAAGACGGCCCAAGTCCTCAGGCCCCTGCACCCACTTGGGAGACCCAGAAGCTCCTGGCTCCTGGCATCAGACCGGCACAGCTCTGGCAGTTGCGGTAATCTGGGGAGTGAACCACTGACTGGAAGACCTCTCTTTCTCTCTCTCTCTGTCTCTGCCTCTCTGTTAACTCTGCCTTTCAAATAAATAAATACATCTTTAAAATAAAATAGGGCCGGCGCCGCAGCTCACTAGGCTAATCCTCCGGCTTGAGGCACCGGCACACCGGGTTCTAGTCCCGGTCAGGGCGCTGGATTCTGTCCCGGTTGCCCCTCTTCCAGGTCAGCTCTCTGCTGTGGCCTGGGAGTGCAGTGGAGGATGACCCAAGTTCTTGGGCCCTGCACCCCATGGGAGACCAGGAGAAGCACCTGGCTCCTGCCTTCGGATCAGCGCGGTGCGCCGGCCGCGGCGGCCATTGGAAGGTGAACCAACGGCAAAGGAAGACCTTTCTCTCTGTCTCTCTCTCTCACTGTCCACTCTGCCTGTC